TGAAAAAGCGCATTCTCTGACCTGCATTTTTACAATGCGATCGGACCAAGTGAACGACTGAATTGTGACATCGAGTCGCTTGAGCAACAGCTGAATCCTGGTGCCATATTCCTGGATCAATTTCTCATTTAATGCCGCTATCTTGGCCCACTGTGTATCGGTAAGAGATGCTGTTAGCAACGGTTGCGGTTTCTGCTTGCATTTGGTCATTCGTTTCTCAGCCTGTAAAGCTGATTCCCTAAAAAATCACATAGAGATGCCCAATACCAAAGTTATTACAAGGGCGATATTTTGCCCATCACTGTTCGTGCACTAAAGCTCTTTCAACAAATTTCCAAGATATTATCTGAAAGTTTCCCACCGTAATTTGAATCTTTGGGTGAGAATTTACTCACGTTTCCTCATCGAAACAATTTTACAGTCATTGCTTGGCCATTTTACGAAGATCACAATTAAATAAAGAGCATGCTTTAAAGGTTTCGGGACATAAGACAAGTACACTCAAGGGCCAGTGGTTACTCTACCTGGTTTCTTCTCGTCTGAGGTGTCTACGATCATCGGGCCCTCAACTGCCGTCTATTGCAATGGCTATCATTCCATCATCTCCTTGTAATTTGATAAATCTCCTTCTGTACAATTAGTGAATTGCCACTACGGACTGCAGTTTTTTGCCTAAGGTCTCTTTGTTTTAAAAGACCTCACACAATGACTTTTACCAACTTAATAAAGAATAAATAGCAACGCGCACCAGACTAACCGGTGCGATCATGCGTTTGTGCAATTCAGCCCATCGAACGATTGCATATTAATGATTTTCACTGCTTTCTACCTTTATCTATGCAAAAATAGTTCAAACATTGGAAAACAGTTAAAAATTTCAGGCACCCGCGCATGAAAGCTGAATTCGAAACCTTGAAGGATGAATATTTCTCCGTGATTCCCGAGTTAATAGTTTACCCGCCAAAATTTTCACGAGGCCTCAGGGGGTACCCGAGAGCGCGAGAACGCTGAATTTGAATAGGCAAGGTTGAGCGTGGACAGGGAATCATTACCCTAAAATTTCAGCCTCTAAGATTCAGTGGTTTCCGAAATATTAACTTACCCATGAAAAACTTTCACGGGGCAGTACGTGTTACCCGCGGGTAAGAGAAGGCTGAATTTGAGTGGGCAGGGGGTCATTACCCTAAAATTTCAGCCTTCTAGACTCCGTGGTTCCCGAGATATTAACTTACCCGTGAAAAATTTTCACGGGGCCGTATGCGTTACCCACGGGTACGGGGAAGCTGAATTTAAATTTGCGGGGTCACACTTGGTGGGGACGTTCCCCTAAATTTTCAGCTTCCTAGCTTTCATGGTTCCGGAGTTGAAAGTTGCGGACAAGTTGCTGCAGATACACACACACAAACACACACACACAGACAACCCCGTGACAATATGCGTTTCGTACTGCTATTACATAGCACAAAACGCATAAAAAATTAAAATTAAACACCAATATGCTCTTGCCGACTGTGCAAAAATCTATGTAATAAGTTTACACTCTTGAAAGAATGCATCGACAAAGCAGTCAAGCAAGAGGTTAAAGGAAATGTACCTGTGCTAAGGGAACAAAAGAAGTTCTAGCGCAAAATGCCCTTTTGCTCCCACAAATGCAAATAAACATATACAAATTCCTTTTGTTTCGAAGAGGAGAAGTGAATTTAGTAAAATCGCTTAGAACAAATTGTCCCCTCCTTCAACTCAAGAAATTTTTAACTGTCAAAAATAAAAGTAGTTCACAACTGAGCTGGAGAGGAGTCAAAGAAAACAGAGGTTGAGAAAAATTTTTCAAAAAAATGGTAGATTTTTGTGCCTCTTTATCAAAAAATTTCGAAAAAATCGATTGGGTTTTTAACAAAAACCAGCTAACCATACTGCTCAGATCTGCGAAAACTTTTCCAGCAGTAACATTCGCTGGAAGTTGGCCGATGTCCAGTGCACGAAGTGTGTCTTCCAAATGACACACTTCTTCACTCTTATGCTGCTGAAAGTTTTTTTCGTGATACAACACTTTTTCACAAAAACCAGGTATGCCGTGAATATGGTTAAAAAAGAAAAACAGTGAAGGGCTGATGTACCAATGTGAAATATTTCTAAAGACGCCCGTGAGCGAAGCTATCAGTGGCATCGATAGATGCTTGCGAAGCAGCACACGAACAAAAATTACGGGCTTTTCATTTCATTTTTCCAGTAAAAAATAAAGTTGATGAATGAGGCAGCATGACTGTAATCAAGAAGAGATATAGCCTCGTCCCTTCCCCTCCTCCTTCCCCCACCAGGAGCTTAGGTATTAGTTGTTTTACTGTACAAGTCTGCTTGGTAGCCACTGTCTCCCACCACCTCCCTCCCCCTCCCCCCCTCCCCTCAAGGAACCTCAGTCTCAGTTTGGTGTCCATTAGTGAGAGTGAGAGTGGAAAAGGGCAGGGGGGAGGGGGGAGGGAA